AATCGGTAACTCAAAACTCGTTGGGACTTTTTCAGTCCGTGTGCCATGCTGATGCTCTGGTCACATACACTTGTACAACCATGTGCAACAGGTCCTTCGGTGGGTTAAGAGTAAGTTTACGGATCTACAACGCTAAAATTCGAGGTTCGATACTCCGCGATAAACCGAGCACAGGCAGCCCATTGTATAGCTAAAACAAACACACATCTGCAACAGATGAACAATAATACATACTGTTCTGGAGCAACTAATATTTGGACCACCCTATAGATAACGTGAAAACTTGTACGATTTTTGGCTCTCTTCTTATCAAACAATAGATTCGTTTCGTAGGTTACCAAATCAAACAGTTAAACAACTTACGCTGCTTATGGTGGTTTCTTCTGAAGCAAGCGAATACCTAAGTGCATAATTTTCATGAGATACATCAGATTGACTAGGACTGAGAAACAAAACTGATCCTTTATTTGAATTAATGTATTGTTTTCGTCCATTAGGTGGCACTGCTGTCCATGCTGGGTGACGAGGAACAGAAAGAGAAGGTTTTACATTCATTGTGGGCGTATAACACCGACCACCATCATCTACCGTTACAGGAACAGAACAGAAGTCAGGATCGCAAACAGTTACGTGATTTAATGTATCACCAGAGGGTGTCGCATTCTCTAAACAACTAGGCGAATTAGAAGTTACAGTTTTGTTCGAAAAATGAGATTCCATTAAGTAACTACGTACGCAAACTCTTTGGCCTTTAGTAACAGGATATCTTAACTGGCAATCAGATGGAGAAAACTTATTTTCATCAAAGTCGCGAAACAAAGTAGAGAGATTGGACTTTAGCACAGTGTCTACGTAGGCAGTGGAATGAGGAAAACGAAGGCTATTTGTTAAGTTGCTGTTTTTTCCATAAAACGTGTCATCATCGGCTACATTGAACAGACAATCTTTTCCTTCAGAATCCGGAATAGCGAATCGTCGAGAAAGCCGTCTTTCTCTTTTTATAGAATACGCAAGCTGCTGGAACCGTTTAGTTATACAGTATTTACGAAAAGCACGCTGAATGGTCAAGGCGGCTTTTCGGGCGTTGTCTCCTCCATATTTCCGTTCCAACATTTCCACTTGCTTATCTTGCAAGTCCTGGGAAAGTTCGTACCTGAGGATGGAACAGAAAAATATTTCTAAAAAAAAATGTTATGCTTATATATAAACAGTTATTTTTACCTTTACTATATCTGCGTGTAAAGGGAAATCACGCTTTTAAAAGTATACGTTTGTTGAGATGTTTTCAAGTGTAAAATACTTGGATGTTTAAGTAGTTTTGATCAAAAGGTTAATTAATTACACGCAAAAGAAGTACAAAGAACATTTATTCCAATCTCCTTTAAATACGAATAATACAATGTCAAAAGTTTGAGGTTATTGTCCGACAATATCCTTATCCTCTTCCCTGTAACTATAAATTGATATATATACGAAGCGCCATCTATAGGATATCTTGTTTATTGTCTATTCAAGTAGTAGAGACCTATTAATTGAGTGCACTACACGTGTAAGCAAACTCTGCCCCCTAGTAACAAGTTGTCCTAACTGGTAGCAAAGTCACGATTATTGCATAATAAAAACTATTGATACAACATAATTTTTCCATCTATGTTTAACAATGTCTTGTAATAAAATGACGTCGCCTGGAGCATTTGGCGAATTTGGGAAGTGTTAACTTTCGTTACGGTGCTCTTCAACGTTAATTTGTTATTCTAAGAGTGGTCGAAATTTGTATTTTTTTTTTGATTTACTGTATTTTAACCAGAAGGTTCGAAAGTATGAAACTGAGGGAAAACGAGATGCATAGAACTTGTTTTTTTTTTTTTTGGCAGTGGTTTGAGTGACTCCATCCTTGAATACGTGAAGAAACAGCTGAATATTTCTATAGATATATACAAGGAAGTAAAACTAGACTAGAAATGATGAACATTATTTCTATATGTATCTAACCTCAAGTTTATTAAATTACAAAATAACGTACTAACCTAAGTTTCAATTTCTCTCACAGATACCGGTTCTCAACATGATTGTATAGGTGTATTCAGTTTTGGTTTTTTTATACTTAGGTGTGTGAATAACTGCAACGAAACCGCAATAGACAAAAATGGAAATTATTAATAAAGGAAAAAAACTGTTCTATTACTTGGCTTATTGCTTGTACGGTCGTATATGTTTTGGCATAATCTAATACGTTAAATTTACTAATTTCTAATCGCAACACAGCTTGCAAATATAAATACCATATTTTGTAGTACATTATTACATATGTTTACCACTAAGCAACAAACTAAACTTACTGTGCACTACTGATACGAGTTCGTTTTAACGCTTCTTCATCTATTCTCCTAGATGGCGCTTTTTTATCCCCTAAGTTTCCGCTGCAAGACCTCTGGCGGACAAGTATTTTGGTGTTGAAATCAGGGTTAGTTGTTACAGAACACGATCTCGCTTGCTTGACAACTGATCCTGAGTCGCATGGCGGGCTACCTACCGGTTTTTTGGCCAAGCTACTGAAATAAAAATAAGAACAATTAATCTTTCTTCGTGAAATATTTTATAAAATTCTAAAACATTCAACCACAACAGAAAGTCGAATTTGTAACTAATCGCAAAAAACGTATCGGCAGAACGATACTGGGCTACATTATGTAAACAGTAAGATAATGCCTTTTCTATCAAAATTTATCAAGTTTTCATGAAGTAACATTACATTGTAAAAAGGATAGCATACAGAAGAAAGTCGATCACAAAACAAAGGGGGTAAAAGATACTTATAGAATAGAGGACCAAAAGGGAGTTCTATGCCGAATCTATCATAGCATTTATTCTGGGGAGGTTAAACAGATCATAGTACCAACAGAATACCGGACTCAAGTGAAGAAGTTGGCGCATAAATCAATTGTGGGAGGACACCTACGAAAAAAGAAAACGGCAGACAGAATCACCAGTAATTTCCATTTGCTGGGAGTAACTGGAGATGTGAGTATATTCTGCAGGTCATGTGACATCTGCCGAAGGACAATACCTAGAGGGCAGGTAGCCAAAGTGCCATTGGGGGAGATGCCTCTCATAGAAGAGTCATTCAGCAGAGTAGCTATGAACTTGATTGGGCCACTAGCGCCTGTGTCTGACAAGGACAAACGAATGTGCTAATAGTAGTCGACTATGCGACACGTTATCCAGAAGCAATGGCACTGCCAAAGATAGAGACAGAGAGAGTAGCAGAAGCCCTCCTGGAGATATTTTGCAGAGTAGGCTTTCCGAGAGAAATCCTGAGTGATAGAGGGCCCCAGTTTACTTCAGAACTGATGCAGGAAGTGTGCAGACTCATCAGTACTCGGCAACTCTTTACCACCTCGTACAATCCTAAATGTAATGGACTTTGCGAGAGTCGGTGGAGTTTTAAAAGAGTATGCTAAAGAAGATGTGCCAAGAAAGACCACATGACTGGGACAGGTACTTACAGGCAGTATTATTCGCTTATCGACAAGTCCCACAAGCAAGTACAGGATTTTCACCCTTCAAGTTACTGTATGGAAGAACAGTGCGAGGTCCGATGCAAATATTGAAATAGTTATGAACGGGAGAAGAAGAGTCAGAAGTAAGGAACACATACCAGTATGTGTTAGACATCAGAAACCGACTGAAGAAAACCTGTCAACTCGCTTGACAGAGTTTGTATGCAGCTCGAGGTAGTCAGAAGCACTTTAATGACAGGAAGGCCAAGGATTGACATTTTAAAGTTGGACAAAAGGTCTTAGTTTTGCTGCCCACAGACCACAACAAACTCACCCTGCAATGTATGTTTGTTTGTTTTAAGTTATGCACAAAGCTACACAATGGACTATCGGTTTCTAGCGTTGTAAGTCCGCAGACATACTGCTGTGCCACTGGGGAGGGGGGGGGCACCCTGCAATGGAAAGGACCTTTTGAAGTACAATAAGTACTCAACAGAATGGACTACAAGGTGAATGTGACGACCAAGATCTACCATGCCAATCTGTTGAAGAAGTATTTTGTGAGAGAAGAAGACCTAACGGGTGCAGCTATTGAAACAAAGATGGATGTTGCAGGTGTAGCCATCATAGATGCAGAACAGGAAGACAGTGACTTTGTCTCAGAAGATAAGGACCTACTAAGCCTAAGAGCACTGTGTAAAGATTAGACGTACAAGGACGTGAACATGAGTGTCAAACTGACTGATAGGAAAAGGGAAGACGAACAAAATATACAATGTTAGCATACAGATAGATTAGGAAATAAGACCTCAGACAACACAAGATCAAGATGAAGATGTGGGATCCTGTTAAAGAGAAGCCCTACTGGACACTTATGTTAGGAGAGACAGATAAAGGAACTGAAAATGTTTAAACAGACATTGTATGTGAACTAAGAACAGTCTTTTTATATAGTAAAAAAATATTGTAAATATTTTATCTTGAAGAGGGGTTTACGTCATGATATAAAATACTGTTTGGTTTAAATATTAGTGATTAATCTATATTTGTGAGTGAATACTTTATTATTTTTAAGTGTTGTTATAATAAGAGTTAAAGCAGACGATTGTATAAGGTTTTGTTAATAACTAATTGGTGTCGAGAATATAGAGAGTGGCCAGACGACTATGTAATAAAGATATAAATAGCGTGAAACGAGCGGGAAGCAGCAGACAGACAGTATTAGACAGATAAAAGAAAAGAGAATATAGTTGTGTGAAGTTAAGTAACGTTAAAATGATAGGCCTAACGACTGACATAGGCCTAACGTTTAATATGTTAGAGTGAAACTAACAGAATAAAAAAAAGAATAATTTTATTCCGTCAAAAGCGTGGATCTAAAGTAATTGAATCAGCCTGGGTACACATTGACAAAAGAAACAGAGGATCTTCAGAAGAAAGAAGACCAAACGAATTACGGTAACTTGCG